ACATTCAACTATCAGTGAATCGACAGCAATGATCGATTCTATTGAAAATATTGAAATACGACAACAAATACAACAACAATGGCGAAAAATAATTCAACAAGCCAAAGCTGATTTATGTATATTAATTTTAGAAACAGCCGAAGAACAACGCAGTACAGCTGCATTAAACTATGACAATCATGCTAACAAACTGTATTCGATACATCATAATGCACTTGATTTCACAACATTACCACTGAAAATGATCGATTTAATTCATGAATATTGTCGAATGATAGGTGAACGTATTCAATCGATTTATAGATATAAGATTGAATGTTTTCGTTTGAAATTAAACAAAATACAACATCATGAATAAATTCAATACGAGCAATGTTTGTTTTTGTTTTTGATTGTTTTCATATTTATTCAAATATTTATCAACCTTTTTTTTTCTAGTAGTGTTATTCATTCAATTTATTCATAGATTATGTATTTGTCTTCGTTCTAGATTCTATTCTACAAGATATTTCTATAAATCCAATTCTATATGAACACAATAATGTCAAAGAACAATGAAATTGATGATTGGATTGGCATTTATCCTGCTACAGTAGAATTTCAACTTTGGATGTTGCATCCATATGACAAAGATGGCAAAGAAATACCATTTCAAGGAATTAGCTATTGGTAATGAATCCTTTATTTTACCTTACAAATTTCAACTTTTTTGTTTTTGATTTGTTTTAGTACCGATACTGACACATGTCAATGTAAAAGATGTAAAAAATATCGAAAAAATGAATGGCCCTATGAACGATCATTGTCTGCACATCTTTTACATTTAACGGGTCTACATATCGATGATATTAATGATGCTGAAGTCAGTCAATTTGAAGAAACTCTTGTCTCTGAATATCTAAGACATATTCATGAATTTTGGCGATACATTACTGAATTATGTTTATTAGCTGGTGATAATGGCATTGAAATACTAAGCCAATTCAATAATGGATTATTTGACAAACCTTTTATATACGACCGTCAACTTCATATACCTCGTCCAAACATTCCACATCCGAAAAGAAATAAAAAAATAATTCAATATTGTAAACAAAAATATAGAATAATACATGAAATTTGTGGAAAATGAACCCTTCTAATTATAAACTTGAATAAATATTCTTCAATAATTTTCAATAATATGGATAATCCATTTTTCATTTCTGTTCTAGATTCAAATAACATGCAGCTTTTCGAACGAACAGTGTTCAAATAAAACCGAATTAACGAAACAATAAAATTCACCAACAAGAAATCAATCTTTCTATACGAATAAATGAAATAATGAATATACGAGAGTCTTTGACTCCTCTTACTTTTCTTGAATCCTTCATCTCATTTTTATTTTTATTTTTATTTTTATTTTTATTTTCACAGTTTTGATACTTACAATTCTATTTTAGATAGAAATACTTAAATAGAATAAACACTTTTGAACTAATGGCAAATTTTTTACAAGCGTCGTTCATCGATAATAATAATGTTTCGGATGATGACATGGTTGAACAATCAACATTCGATCATCCTACAGTGATGCCTTCAGTAAGTATGCAAAAAAAAAGAAAAGAAAAAGAAAGTGAATTAAAACTCTGCATATACTCTATTTTAATTTTTTGCCTTAGACAATGGCCCAAGATATCATGCCTCACTATTTCGATAGCAATAATAGTGGTATGAGTCCATTATCAATGAAAACACAGCCATGTGAAATTCAATCAAGTACCTTATTTGATGGCAATACACATGAAAATGACGAATTCAATGTCAATAATACAAAAGCTACGAATGATAAACAACAAGACAAGGATGACGAATATCAAGATATTAATGATGATGATGATGATGATGATGATGATGTTAATGATAGTACATGGATTTTGTATAAGATCGATGATGGTGAGGATCAAGATAATCAATTGACATATCATCATCAAGAGACACAAGAATTAAAAGATCTTGACTGGCATGATTTACCAAATTTTATTCGTCATCTCGATTATCAGCATTTGAAAGTAAATGATCGTCATAAAGCTCACTCTGAAAATCGTACTATATTATCTATTCGACGTAAAATGGTTGCTAATAACATGATTGTTAGATTACCATACAAGGGTACTCCATTTTACATCGGTTCCATAGAGAATTTTCAAGCAAAAGAAGCCGCTTATATAACGCGAACAGGTAGTTGGGTATTGCTACATGAACTGAATGGAGTTCATCGCAATGCCAGTCAGTTATGTTTTGCTAAAATTCTTGAAGAAGTAGAAGCAAAATTGTTTCATTTACTTGATTCAAAATATATCAATGAAGTACATCATTTCAAAATGAATATTAATCGATCAATGGTTCGAATGCATTATCTTTATTTTGTACCAGAAACTCATAAGGTACGTATCTTGTAGATTTTTTTACAATTTTATGTTATAAATAAATACTCACACCCATAGGAAGAAATACCAGTGAGACCAATCACGGTATGCAATGATGGGCCAACAATGAATATCGTTCGTCATATAACTCCACTTCTATGGTCAATCTTTGATCAAGCAACTAATTGTAGACGATTTCAAAATGGTGCTATTGATGTTATACACGGTATTGAAAAGTATACGCAAATGGGTCAACTTAAACCTGGTACTCTCTTCGTAACATTTAATATGGATGATTTGACGACAAGTTTTTTACATGATCAAACAATGTCAGCCTTAAAACGTTTACTTATCGAACAATTACAAGATAAGACAATGGATGGTCTTACTATTGATATTATTTTGCAATTGGTTGATCTTGTACTAAAAAATCAATTCTGCGTTTACAATAACGGATTGTATCAACAAATTCATGGTGGTGCTTCTGGTTTACCATTGACAATGCTATTGACCTATGTTAATTTATTTTATGGACAACATAGTGAGTTAATGAAAACGATAAAAGAAAAAGATGAATTTTTTGGCAGGTAAGATAATTTTCAACATTGTATTTTATTGTAAATGAATTCATATATATTTCATTTGTTTTTCTCTCACATTCAATAGATATCAAGAACAAGCAATCTTAACATGGCATGGATCTAAAGATGAATTTTGCACATTAATCAAAAAAAATATTCATGTCGAACACACTCGGTATCTCGTGAAAATGTCCATTGGATCAACAGTTCATTTTCACGATGTCGAAATTAGTCAAACCAACAATAATGATGTTCTCGAAAGTAAAGTTTATTATGATCCAAATATTGACACTCTACCAAATGTATCTGATGAACCAATGGAGAATAAATCAAAACAATTATATGCTGTTCTATATCGAGCTGTTCGATGTTGTTCGAATGTCGTGAAATTCAATCATGAACGACGTCATATTCAACTCTCATTTCTTACATCTGGTTCTACATCGGAATTTATTCAGTCTGGTATTGAACATTTTTTTTTGGAATTCGGTCTATCGAAACGTTCCTTTTCATGTCTTCTGAATGAAGATGAATATCGTGATTTACGTCAAAGCATTATTCAAGTCACTGAACTGCAAATGGAACTGAAGCAACAACGTGAACGACAAAATCAACATACATTATTTGTTCCGTGTACAAAATGGATTGATCCCAAACAACTAGCCGATTATACGCAACGCTTGAAAGATTGGTGGAAGAAATATTACGGTAATGAACCACAAACAAAACATATTCAAATCAAATGGACAGAATCAACATCAAAGAATCTCACCAACAGTGATATTCTCGTTAATAAACGACCACCTAATTGTCTTTTGACTTTGCCAAAAGAATGGAGAGAATAAAAAGCAGTAAATATCATTTGTATGTTTTCTTTTATTTTCATCAGTCATGTCTATTTTTTTTTCTTTTGTATAGATCACGATACTCATAGTTATCATTAACAATAACATTGGTGAAATCTGAATTGACAATATAAATATTATCATATTCACATGTTGTATTAGTAGAAGTAGTTGGTTTGTAATAGAGAGTAGTATTAGTTTTAAATAGATTATTTGAAAAAGAATAACAAAAAAAATTCCGTTTTTTTTCACCTCACATAATACACATTGATTTAGCTCACTTTCTTTGGTTTTAGATGTATTTCTATTCATAATCGTCTCTTTTCAGATAATGATTATCAATTTATTAAAAATATACAAACATACATTAAAGGACACTGTGTAACCATGGCTCAACCAATGCAACATTCACAAGTATCAAAGA